AAGAAGAGAGAGAGAGAGAGAGAGGAGAGAGGGAGATGAAAACTCGCAACGACGCTGCCCTGTTTCCGGATACGGAGATGATGTCTCGGACCGAAGGGTATAAGAGCAACGGTATAGGGAGGATGGCAGGATGGGTTTGAGGTGGGAGAGAGGAAGTTGCTGGACCATGTCGACTGGTTCCCAAGCCAGCCGAAGTGGACCTATCGACTCGAAACGAGTGTGCTCGACGTTAAAATCCCGGTCGCTGCTCCCGTTTCTCAGCAGCCTCTCTCCCTCTCCTCCCTCTGTCACCCCGCCTCCTTCCATCGTCATCGCTCTCTTGCTCCCCCATCCCCCTCTCGCGCCACCCCTCCCTCCCCCTCCCCCGATCCTCTGCCCGTCTTTCTCTCTAGTCCCGTTCATTCGTCCGTTCGTTTGTATTGGACGTAAACGATGCAATGGGTGGACACGGTCCGGCAAATCCGAAATCCCCTTTTCCTCCGATATAAAGCTTTACCCTCCCCTCCCCCTTTTTTCGGCTTCGTCCTTCCGTTGAGCGCGACTTCGCGCCAATACTTTCTGCGAACAAACCAGCCGGCACAAGTGAAATCGACTTGTCCTCGTAGTATTTTCAAGGATCCGGACTAATCACACGGAAATCGGAACGGAATTCGGAATATATTGTTGCTGTTGCTGTTGTTATTATCGTTTTTTCCCTTTTTTCATTTTTTTTTCTTTTTTTTCAAATCCATTCCGCTACGATCAACCGTGCACCGACTATTATCAATTGTGGCTCGACGATTATCCGTGGAGGGGAGGGGGGAGAGACGGATTCGAAGCAAGTAACGTTTTCATCGCTTCGCCATTTTCGTTATTTTTCAAACCCGATACGATTGATCGTGCCAGGGGATGGGATAATGTGTCATTGTTGAACAACTACGTTTCGTTTCGTTTCGCATCGTGTCGAAGACTTATTGTATACCGTTTTTTATCCGAAATGTAAATGAAACGTATGCTTGCGAGGTTGAATTGGTGGCGAGAATCATTACGCGAGAAATTTGCGTATTATCGTTGATTATTCCGTGATTACGAGAAATTCGTCCTGGAAATATGGGGCCGAGAGAGAGAGGGAGAGAGAAAGAGCAGGAATAATATTTTGTACCGGAGGAAAGTAGGGTAAAGCTTGGGTGCCTAAAATATTCTTCGTACTGACAAAAAGTAAGGGCGCAAAAAGAACATTGAACAGCGGTACGAGTCTTAGATGGTGCTCGTGTAATCGTGAAAATGCGAAAAACTTTTCGTTTAAAAAAAAAAAATTATTTTAAATCGTCGAAGAAGGGAAGGATTTTTGTGGATTTTACAGTTTGTGGATTTTTTTTTTTCATTAAACGTTATAAACATTCGTGCTTATATCATCGTCTCCATCGAGATGCTAATAGACTTTACCTTATACTTCCTCCATATATATATATATATATATACACGTGTGTGTACATTGTATATATATATATATACATTGAACGTAAAGAGATAATCAAACGTGTATTCTAAAACGAATTTAGATAATGGCGAGACAAGATAGTCGATAGGGATGACGTGATTCAGCACGGAAGTGACAATATTATTCTGTTTCAGGGTGTGACGGGCGACCGGCTGGCCGGGGGCGCCGCACACCTCCTCCATCTCTTCTTCTTCTTGCCACGACCACAACACACAATGTAACAACAACTACCACTACTAGAGTCGTCCGCGTGAACCACGTTCTCAATGTACTCGATGTGGTACGTCACCATACCCCTACTCGGTGTCTCTGAAAGATATGCCATCCTTATTAAGTTTTAACGTGTTTCACTTTTTTACGTTGTCGTTGCCTCACAGTTAGTGTTCCTCAGTGTTTTTTTTTAACGAGAAACTCGGAGAACCAACAACAAAATGATTTGAACGCCCTCGCTGTGCGTGTACGACGCACGTGTGGCGAAGAGAGTGCGCTGCGATCGGGAGCCGAGACACTTTGCATTAAATTAACTATCGAGTAAAACGTTGTACGCGGTCGTTACGTGTCGTTACGAGAACGTTTCATAGGTTTATTTATTCGGTTTGTAACTACCCTATTCTTCCATTCTTCCGACAACTACACGCCTCGTATGAAAACAAATTTTCGTTCGCGGTATTATTCATTCCCCTTAATTAAACCGCTTCGTCGAATTTCAGTTTTCATGCAAATCGAGCTTTAATTAAATCGAACAATTTCACGGTTGTTTAATTATTTTTCTAAAAGGTTATCCTCCCTGTTCGTACATGTTATCCCAGCTATTCGTTTTTCCTTTTCTTCTTTGATCATTTAAACAAAAGATTGACGGATCGTCCGTTCTGCGATACCGCGAATCGGGATACGATTCGCGAGATAAATTTTACACGTGGAAGCAGTGGCATTCTTCGCGCACACGTACGTATAACACACCAATCAACATATTATGTATATATTCTATATTCTATATCTATATATGATATATATATATATTCGCTGAGTTCCGTTACAATGTGACTTGTGGTTGGTTTAGTTTCGTTGGTTTATCGGTGTTCGATGTTGGCTGCTATTGTTGGTTGTTAGGTGTTTAGTGGTCACTCTGTGTTGGTGCTCACCCTATCGACTCCTTCCTTGTACCCGCAACCCCGACAACCTGCACCCCCTTTCTCCGACAACCCGAATCCCAAACTTGATGTTAGAAGTTACAATGTCAAGCTTGTCTCCTGCCACGAGCAATCTTATTCGGCAACGGAAAGATCCGGCAGCGTTGTTAACGGTGTACCAAATATACGGTAAGATTTTTCTTTTTTTTTTTTTTTGACAATCTGTTATTCCAGGCAGCATGTTATTGTTATTGGTAAAAAAGAGGAGGGAGAAAACTAACAAGGGGAATTTTTAACACCGTAAAAAAAATTCTTATTTGTTTAAAATCTTGCAGGTTTGTAAAGTATTTGAAGTAAAATGTTAGGCTAATTTTGTTTTTTTATTATAATATAAAGTATATAAGTCAGTTATATTTCAGAAAGAAGAACACCCTCGGCTTGAAAATTATAACAAATATGAAAGGAAAAGCGACTAATTTCTAGAGCGATGCTTTTAATCTGAAGAATTCTCGGAAGAACGAGTATAAAAATTTATTTGATTTCTTACAAATCTGCAAGTTTATTGATGATGATAAATTAGAATTTGTGGGATATCGATGTTCCCTTGTGAGCAAGTGTCGCATGATGAAAATCCCTGGTTAATCAAGAAGAAGAACGTTTCGTTTATGTAAATGTTTACTAATCAGCTATTCTGATAAAATATTCACAAAAAAAAAATCATTCGTTGATTATTTCGATAGGAGATCGTTCTTTAAGCTATATATGGAATATCAATGGAGTGTTTAAACGATGGTAAAAAAAGCATGTTCGTGGTCTGTGAACGTTTTTTTAGTCTCTTTTGTCAAGATTGTGAAACTAATTTGTGCAATTATAATGCAGAAATTTTAATTATAAACGATACAGATTTTAATAATATATCGTGAAATCGTTTTGGAATCAAAAACAAAAAAAAGTATTTTTTTCTAGATAATTAAATAATACGCACTATGTATGGAAAAATTAATATTGCGTTTATATTTCCTTAACAGTTTTAAGAATTTGCTTCAATCAATGAACCATCCATTTATTATATAAAAGAATTCGTGGGAACGCGTACGAATATATAGAAAATTGATATAGAAACCGAAGGAAAGGCACGTTTCGCTTCGTTGTGGAATTTAAATATTTTTGAAGAATGGATACGAAGCCCAATGATTTTTATGCAGCGCGCGTAAAGGTCTCCCTTACGGAATACCGTTTCTAGACCAGAAAGGCGTTACTGGAAATGGCCGGTATTTGATTAGCGAGTGGTACGGATCGTTTGTATTTCATCGGATCAAATCGAAATTTATTTTAAGAATTTTTTCCAATTCGAACGGAGAACGGTATGCAAAGGATGCAACGAGAATATCTTTTAATTACGATGAAAAATATTCTTATACCCCGTTCGGGATAACGTTAATTATTAACGAGTGAAATCCATGAATCGATGAGCATGTGCAAACGGGCACAATTTATTCCTGCCTATTTGCGCGATAAATATTGATACTAGAATTTTTTTTTTTTTTTTTTCAACCGAGCTCGCTAATTAAGTTTCGTGGGCAGCGATAGGTTGTTATCACGCTTTTAATGGGTTTGGAAAACGATCGCTGTTTACGATCCAGCGAGGGGGGAAAATCTGTGGTCAAAGAGCTTGAATTCTTAATAAGAACCGACCGAAAAAACGGAAAATACTCTGCTCATTTACTACGCTTTAGGTAAAACAATTACCCGAGTGGATAATGAAAAAAAAAAAAAAAAAGAATTTTTAACCCGACGAAAATTCTTCGAATATTGAAATTTATATATTTATTAAAGAGCGTTTATATACGAAAATAATTATAATCTTTATAGAGCGAGTAAAAATTGTTTTTCCGATTTAAAGAAAAATAAAAAGTTACAATGTTCAAGAATTAACAATGATTAAAAATATCATATAAATTAAATAATTCAATTCTTCGATTGGATGAAACCAGACCTCGACACGATTCAGAGAAAATCGTACATCGTCCTATGTACGTGTCTTCTGCTCTATATCACTTACGTCCATTTAAGTCTAATCGTGTAAAACCATAATCTCGATCCGCGTTCCAATTCTATTGGAAGTGTCGAGCGACATTTTACCTTATAGAATCGTGCTGGGATGGGAGAAACGTGCAAAGAAAAGAGAGGACGTCGTGCTGTTCAAGAACGTTTCGACGTTATGTGAGAAAGAAAGTATAGATCGAAGGAACATTTATTTGCTGGCAGGAATCCTCCGCACTTTTTCAACCAGACCATGTGGAGTTTTGCAAAAGGCAATTCGATTTCAAGCCCATTCGGACAATATTAAAAGGTAATTGGATTTCGACCTGGCTAGTTGTTGCCAGTGTGCACGCTCGATCCCAGGCTAGCGACGGGAATGGGGGACAGAGCAAATGGTGTAAGGGGTGTCGGGATTGGTAGAAAGAGGAAGATAAAAGTAGGGAGCTTGTACGCGTGTTCGCAGACCAGAATAATGGATAGTCGTTAAATTTAATTGGCACATAATTATCGGGAGTTCCGGCACCAAGCAGATCGTTGCACGCCACCGATCGCCGTAATCCCGTTACCTTGGCTTAATAATATCGAGAAATAAATAAAACGCATTGTATATCCGTCCATCGCGGAACGGTGAAAATCTCTATTTTTGATTTTTGTAAAACCTAGATCGATCTATATGATTCTTACATACAAATATAATGAACAAGTAAAGTCTCTATTAGCAGCGATCGCTTAAATTCACAATGGAACTTGCACTTTTTGCGTGAAAAGCGCAAGAAAAAACTTTAGTATCAGAGAAGTCAGGATATATATAAAGAAAAGCATACCATTCAAATCATTTTTCCATTCATCCCGATATCTCGATCGATTATCGAGATATGAGTGTTAAAAGTGTTCATAGCATTTAAAAATCGTTTTTAAAGAATTGCATCTGTCGGTTCTCTAGAATTTAAGATAGAGAAGAATTTAAGTCAGTGCGAACGAAAAGTACGAGCGGCAAGAACGTAATAAAGATGATATCTCGGGAATCGAAAATTATATAAATATAAATGAAAAAGGGCATTTTAAAGGGCAAGGTTCCAACGATTTTTCACCCATTGACCGAAAGTTATTATCTTCGGAGTTATATAACGACTTAAAGTTTTTTTTAATTTTAATAGAATTTCTAAGATGTATATTGAGCGACAAAGACAGTCATAATAAATGAATAAAAATTAATTTTTCTTTATACGATGATATCTCGGGAACCGGAAATCCTATCGGTATAACTGAAAAAGTATTTTAAGTTTTTCTAATTTTAATAGAAGAATTTAATAGAGATTTTATAGTACGTTCAAAGTAAGTGAGAAGCAAGCGAGAGAGAAGCCCGAATGCGCGAGAAAGATGAAGATAGTGAAAGACTAAAAAGTATCCTTTTCTTTATACGACAATATCTCAGGAACAGGAAGTCGTATCAAGATAAGCAAGAAAGCGTTTTAAAGAACAACAGTTTCTACGCTTTTAATGATGGTTCATTTGCTGTGCCAAAGTCACTATTTTTAGAATTGTAACGCTTTAAAAACTTTTTGCCTAATTTTAATAAAGTTTGATCGAATTTTAAGATAAATTATGCGATAGATATATCGTACTCCTAGAAAAATATTTCAAATTCATTCAAGATATCTTATTTCTGGTAAATTCGATAAGCTTTTAGGATTATTTGCAATTTCCTTTGTAAATACAATTAAAATAACGATATAAAAATATACAACATCGTCGAATATTCCGCTCGACGCACATACCATAAAGTTGCAAATGGTGTAATACTTGACTCTCATATTTTCGTCTTCCGAGAAAATGTGGAGGCTTTTTTGGCGAGAAAGAATCTGAATAATACAACGATCACCAGCGACCAAGCAACAAGACCGAGGGGGAAAAAAAAAGCATTAAGGGAGATGAAGTTAGAACGAAAGAAGGAACCAGAGAGATGTAAGATAAAAATTTATGAATGTATCGTATCTCTGGAAATATCTTCGGAAACTTTATCATTCATATAAGTACGAAAACACGCAGCTCGAGTAGAAGGAACATGCCCGTTTAAAACGTCTAAATAATGCGTGTGTCGATCGGATCGGTAAATTAATTTATGAATCAATTAGGACAGCCGCGTTTAGATAAAGTTTATCGGCCGCTTCCGCGTTCGTAGGTAGCGAGGAACAGAGAAGCTCGACGCGGTTAACGGCGAGGGTGAGCGTGTGATACGATACGATATAACTACGATATCGGGGTGCACCAATAAATAAGCCGACCGATATCATCTTTCATTTCGATAATTATTATTCGGCACGGTGTTAATTAATTAAACACGGAGAAGCAGTACGGTTGGGGTAACAGGCGAGGCTCAACTCGAAATGGAGTGCTCGAATAGACGACGCTGGTGCGCGCATAGTCACGATCGCACCAGGTGATAACTCCTCGGGCTCTCCGGCTAATTACCGGATGAAAGAGCTATCTGGTGACTGTCGTCAAAGCCTCTGGTGAAACCTGGTAAATGCACCTGCTGCGCCATTGTGATATTTTAACGCGGGTGTACGCAGCGGGTTTTTGATGTATCTAATTTTCATTCCGACATTTTCGGTTCCGGCAAGCGTGCACGCGCGCCTACGTGATCACGAATGGGTCTCTCCTCGTTTTAACGACATTGCCAAATATTCGTCGCGGAAACGGGTGCGGAAACTCGGTGAAAAACGGGACGTCGTCGCTACGCGCCCTACCCCTCTCAGCGGCCTATTTAACCTTTTTTTTTATTATCGTTCCTACGTTTACACGATTTCGCCGAGACGAGATATATTTCATTCCTCGGTTCGCCGATGAGTAAATAATAAAGAGTCAACGACCCCGAGGTCGAATTAAAAAAAAAAGATGGCGTGGAAGAAAATGCCCTTCCCCTCCCCTATATCGAATGAATATTACCTATCATAATCAGTTTCCAGAATTTGTTTGGGATAAGAGAAATCGAGGATTACGATGATATCGAGATACCATATCTCACGGAGAATATGGATCCTGTCCGGATAAATGGACGATGGAGAATTTACCGCGGTACGTTCTTTCGGATAATAAAACGTTCAAATTATCTTTCGTATCTACGGGGAATTCTCGTTCCCGTAGCCGAAGCATACGTGACATCGGCGAGAAGTAAATGTCAGGATCACGAAAGTCCAAGCAATTCGGACGGGAGCCAACCGAGAGAGAGGAACCGGTATAATTTATTAATTTAATGCGTGCCTTTTTGGGTCACAATCGTATCTGGGTGAGAGGGCGTTGGCATTTTTCCCAAGCGACAGGAAAAAATAATATCTCTCTTTTTCTACGTGTCGTGTCTCGCAGAGATGCACGATCCCTGTAACACAGAGCCTGTTAACGGTCAACAAACAAGTAAATAACAACTATAATCATGTGTTACCGAATGACTAAGATCCTCCATCCGAAACATTTTTCGAATTCTAACCGATAAATATCCCAGCAATATATTCAACGAAACTGTGAAAATATCATAGAAATAAGCGAAATGGAAAGGAAAGAAGAAGAAATATATATATATATATATATGTATATATATACATATAAAAGGGAAGAAAGTCGAAGCACAAGGTTGTACTCTCGGATAACGCTTTTATTCAATTTACTCGCTCCTTGCCACCGATCCTCTCCCTCTTTCTCTCTCTCTCTCTCGCGTATATTTGCCAGGATTTGATTTACGCATAAAATATTCACCTTGCCTGAGATTTCGTTAGAGTTTCAAAGTTCGAGAACGCGCAGCCGCCGCCAGCTGCTACTGCTACCGCCACTGCCACTGGTGCAATACAAACAGGCGAAGAAGAGAGGGTCCAAGTAAAAGTAACTAGAGAGAAACGAAAGTGTACGTTAAGGGTTCGGGAGAACGGTAAGAAAAACGAAGGGAAAGAGAGGGAGAGAAATAAGTTCGCGAAAGATTGGAACAATAGAAAAGCAAGGTGACTTTTACGGAAAGATTCCGTGCAAGAGGAGGAGGCTTGAGGTGCCTACGGTAGGAAACTTTGCGGAGGCGAAAAAAAGGAGGGAGAACAAAGAAATAGGAACGAACGAGGCGCTGAAGAAATTTCGTGACCTCGGTGATACCTTTCTTTTTAATCCCTTTTCTTTTGCTAATCCCGCCTCTTCTCCATTCCCCTCCGTTGCCTCGCTCTTTCCTTGAATTCGATGAATTCGGAAAGAAACGTGGGAGTAAACTTTTTACACGATCGATATCCGAGCTCGAAGTGTAATCAACTCAAGTTCAAGATGCGCTTGATAATAACTTTATACCCTACTTCTACTTTTCCAACTATATCATTTGTGTTCCTATCTTTTGCGAAGATACATTTTTAACTTCATTCTTGATAAATTTATTTCAATTTTCTCTTGTTATTCTTTAGATTGGAACGAAATTGGCCTATTATATATTTCGTAAAGAAAAATTTTAAGTATACGGATTAATTATTCAACGAGATAATTGCGAAGGGATTGATAATTTTGACGTTCTTTGTAGATGAGAATAACGCCAACGCTAAAATATTAAAATTTAAAACTTACTTCATCGTTTAACGATGAAATTATATTGATGAAATTCGATTATAATCGAATTACTCGAATAAGAATTCACGTTCGAATTACGAAGCAAGTATGGAAAGATATACTCCGATCACATCGGTTCGCATAAAGCGAAACTTTCGTTTATATCGGGGCGCTAGAGCG